GCCACAGCTGCAAATAAGAAGTGACATGGATCCATGGGATCACATTTTGGTCCTATAACCTGAGGCAGTCATTAAAAGTGTTAGATTGTATCTTGAAGGTTGGTATTAATTTGACCTGATAGTGGAAAACTAAGTAGAGTGAATTGTGACAGTAACTATTACAGCTGCTGGGCATAAAAAGATCATTGATCTTCTTTCACAAGAATCATGAAAATTCTTCAGTGCTTTCCTCAAAGCCCAGGAATCATTTGCATTTGTATGGTAGACATCATTGCATGTGAACTACTTGATTTGTTTCTGAGGTGTTTAACTTCCCCACTTAGATTGGATGAGAAATGTCATTCTCCAAGAATCCTTCCACTACCCTTCCCTGGTATTCATACTTTCTAAAGAGGCATTCTGTGTGCTGCGAAGTCACATAATAGGTATTTGGGGGGTGGGTACCAGGGATTGAATTCAGGAGCACTTGACCACAGAGCCACATCCCCAGCCCTATTTTGTATTTTATTTAGAGACAGGGTCTTGCTGAGTTGCTTGGTGCTTTGCTTTTTGCTGAGGCTGACTTTGAACTTGCAATCCTCCTAGAGCTGGTGTGATTACAGGCATGCACCATACACCCAGCACATAATTTGTATTTTGACATGACATGAAATAACAGCTGGTCAGTTGTCTATAGTAGTCACTTTGGTTTTAGACAAGAATATATTACCATATAGATTTGTTTGGTTGTAACCATAAGGTACAGAAATAGCAGAAATCTATGACACTAATATTTTTTGATCTATTTGTTTTTATTTTATCAATTTGGACTTTATTGTGAATAACCTGTAAATTTTGTAAACTTGGAGGATAAGAAGATGAGATGTAGGGGGAAAACTGAATAGGCTACGAAGTTTTATTAAGTTTATCCTTAAGAATAAAAGGGCAAGGACTATGAGAAATGCTTTAAGACGAGAAATTTTCTGACTTCATTCTGTTAGATGTCTTAAACTTCTTCATTTGTTTTTCTTGCAGCCACTATCAGTAGAATGCTTAAAAAATTTAATATCTCATGTACTCATTCTAGGAATGATAAGCAGTTTGGGGGAAATAAAAGGAATCCCCCAAATCATGTGGGTAGTAGTTTTTAAAAGGAAAGCCAGCTGAAAGCCTATGAGCCTGGCAAGGAATGGACCCCAGGCAAAAAAGTGCCCCAAGCCTCTCAGGAATCAGGTAGACAAAATTTCTATATTGCTGAGCATGAACTAGATGACCTCAAAAGTTCTTCCTAATAATACTTTCCATTTCATTATTTCTAGTAGAAAATGCCAGGAATTGCTTCCATAAGAGATTAAAGATTAAACTATGTCATTTTGGTGAGAATTACAGTATGGTAATTGGTAATACTTTTATGTTTATGTCATCATTGAAATTTTTCCAGCAAGAATTCTTGAAATTAAAGTGATAGTTTTCTTTTTAGGATCTAAATAATTTTAATGGAGCTATCTTATTTTAAATAACATTTAGCATGCATCACATATATACAGCACAGAAAGATCCTGTAAGTAGGTTGTTGTCTTAGGGGGAGAATGAAACAATACAATAAAAGTAGCTAGGATGTTCTGGTATCATAGGATTTTGCTATTTCTATAGCCTTTGCTCTTGAACTATAAATCTTTAGATACTATATTGGGTTCTGGATAATATAAAATGTGGATTTGTTTTTAGTGAATCAGGTTACTGAGTGAGATGTCTCTTTCTCCTTGACATGAGATCTTTCCCTATAAAAAATAAGGCCTAAAATATTATACCAAATTATCAGGATTTTCACATATCTGGATTATATATGAGGTGAAGAAGACACAGAATGTACTTGGAATCTCAGTCTTATTCAGTATCAAAAGGATCTGTAAATTAACATGAGGAATAAAATACCCAAATCCCCCAAGATATCATCTGGGATTAAATAAAGAGTAAGAACAATTTAGTTCACCAGATTTTTTTTTCCTGGACTCCTTCAACTTTTTCAAAAAGATACAAATAAGCAGTGAAAAAGTTCAGTGGGAAAATCAGGCAATATCCTTGGATCAGGGAAAATTCAGATTTATCTCTTCACATTATACATCAACAATATGAGATATTTAAAATGGAAATTCAGTATTATAACAGTAGCAGTTAATATTTATTGAGCCTACCATGTCCATTTAGCTTCAGCACCCAGACCCATCCTGGACGTTTCATCTGTTCATCCCAAAGGAAAATGGAAGCAGTGGCAGTCTGGGTGAAAGCAGGAATTGGAGATCAGGGCCACACCCCAGACACGATTAAAATATACATTTATAAAAAATGTACATTTATGTGTTTATTGAACATATACTGTGTGCCAGATGTGGTATAGAATATTCTACCTTTATGATCTCATATATGATCTCATTTAATACTTTTACCAAGTCCTATGACTTAGGTACTGCTCTGAAACTCTGTAAGATCCTCAGTCATCTACTTAATAGGGCATGGAAGTAGACTGATATATTATTCTGTGAATTATCAAATGCAAGACAAAATAAGAAAGACTTTTATGATTAAAAACCATTAATCAGAACCTCCTGATCCTTGAGCATTCCTTTTAATCAGGATTTCCCCCATTTTGCTGTATAGTACTCAAATGATAGAGATGCATTGAAAATCTATTTTAAGTAATGTTGCTATAATCAGCATCAGAAATTTTCAGTTGTGGCATTAATTCTTGATGATCAGCTGCCAAGTCTTTACTCTAATTACATGGGTTAATATGATGAGTCACCTACCCCCACTTATTGAGGATTAATTAATTAATTCAACATTTATTATATGTTAGATATGGTGTTAGGCATAAGGAATATAGTTGTGGGAGGAGTGAGGTGAAGGGAGAGAGCTCCTCCTTAGAAGAACCTATAAGCTTATCGTTTATTTTAATTCATTTAATTTATTTTAGTTCATTTAGAATTATATAATTATCATAACTATGTTTGTTAATCTTTGCAATAACCTTGTATAGTCTTATGTCTCCCCATTTTATATTAGAAAACTAGGTGTGAGACTACATGAATTGCCAAAAGCTATCTAGTAGGAAGGGTAATCATGATTTGAACCCCAATCTAGCACACTCTTTCCACTATACCATTCTGTTTTCCATAGAACTTATTTTGATCAGTATGATGCTGCAGAAAGAAATGCCAAGAAAAGTTTTGGAATAATATGCTTATCATATTTGACTTTGGACTACTCAGGTGCAAGAAAAATCTTCATTTTTAAATGATATAAAATGTAGATTTTGAAAATAATCTTGGTTGTGACTTCAATATTTTCTAATATACATATTTTTATAGTTCTAGTCATAGTAGAGATTTTCTTTTGGGGGGTGATTCACTGATTGAACCCAGGCCAATTAACCACTGAGCCACATCCTTGCCCTTTTATTTTTTATTTTGAGAGAGGGTCTTGCTAAGTTACTTAGGTCCTCACTAAGTTGCTGAGCCTGGCTTTGAACTTGTGATCCTCCTGCCTTAGTCTCCTGAGCCACTAGGATTACAGATGTGTGCCACCACACCCAGCCATGCTAGATATTTTAATAGGACATGGATATGATGTAGTGAATAGTTGACTTAAGATATAGAAGCAAGTTTTATCCTTTCACTTAGTTACTCACATGATGAAAAGGAAAGATGTTTGACAAATCCCAAAGGCCATTTAATGGAGGTGTTTCAAGTGGAATCTGATTGCTAAAGAAATAGTACTTTCTATGTAGGCTGAAAACATTAACAAGGGGACAGTCTTTATTATAAACAATAATGGGAATTCATTTTGTTAGAACTTTGTATTCATTTTATTGAAATTTTATTGACCTTTAGCTGTCTGGATTCCAAGCTTTTTATTGATATTTTGCAACTTTATCTGAAGAAGTGTAAAGCTATAGGCCATAGAAAAAATGGAAATTGAAGAATGAACTCTATCAGGCTAACCTGATTCCCCTTTTGATAGGATTAGAGAACTAGTGGATAAAAGGCTAAGAAGAGATGTCTTTACTTTGGAATTTAACAAATCTTTTGATTCCATATTTCAAGAAGTTTTAATTGAAACACTTGAAACTCTAAGTGCTGCCGCCAGAGGAATAAGAAAGTATCTCTGATCACCCCTGACTGAAGTATATAAGGGTTAGAGAGTAGAAAATGCCTTTTGTCATCTTATATGGTACAGCAGTAGCTAGTAAAGTGACCATGCTTCTGATAGCATTTGAAGAAAATGAGATTAACACCCCCAAACCTGGGTCATAACTTCATATCAATACAGTGACTGAGTAACCCCTCTGTGACAATGTCTTTTTGTTTTCTTTTCTCATATTGCCATTGCCATGGATTTATGGTTTACTTTTTAAGAAACCTCCATGATATCATCAGCAGTGACTTTGACATCAGGACATTATAATAATTATTTCTGTATCACTTCAACAAAACTTGTAATGAAATAATGAAAAAATGTCAGGAGATAATCCAAAAAAATACAAAGCCAAGCTTTATCAAAGGAAGAGCTGGTACAGCTATAGGTACATTTAAAGAAGGGCCTATCTTTTTTCTATTTGAGACAAAGTCTGATTATGCCCAGGCTGGCCTTGAACTCCTGGACTTGAGTGATTCTCCTGCCTCAGTTTCCCTAGTAGCTGGACTATATTCATGTGTCACCATGCCTGGCTGATCCTACTTTTTAAGGGAGGAAATAGAAAATATATAGCTCATGGACAGAAATATTAGGTTCTCACAGAAACAGGAGGGATCTAACAAGTAACAGAGCTGCTATCCTATATTTTAATTATGTACTTGTCAATAAGATCTATAAAAATTCCACAGGGCAACTATCTGAGGAATTCACTCTTAACTCCTAGGATCTTGAGACCTAAAAGGTCACTACTGGCTCATAGAATAAAATCTGGAGATGATCCCAGTCCTTAATGGAGTCTGGACTTTGGCTTTCTTTTTCTTCTTTAGGATTGAACCAGCTGCCCTTTGACCCTGCCAACAACAACGAGCCCCTGCAGTTTGGTAGTGCCAGTGGCCCTCTGGTCACAGAAGGCCTCATTGAGAATGGAGGGGAATCAAGCAAGAAAAGAAAGAGAACAAATACTCCTTCAGGTAAGCTAGGTGATAATGCACTGTCTTAAGTCAGTGCTATTGAATCAACATTTTCCTAGAGCCTAGTATGTGGTAAGGATTGTGCCAGGACTTGGAGGAGCTTCAGAAATGAGGAAGAGGGTCAGGACCAGCAACCAGCTAAGTGACAGCAGCTACACGCGCCGGTGGGGAACGCAGACCAGACCCACAAGGACAGGTCCGGCGGACGGCTGAGGGCTAGGCCCGTCCCCTCCCCCAGTGTCTGCAGGTAGGAGGGGGACTGTGAACACCAGCAGAGCGGGCCCAAAGCCTGCTGAGGGGCGGAACCGGCCCCTCCCCCAGTGCCTGCAAGCTAGGCCAACCTGCAACCCATCGGGAGGTTAGGCCCAGCAACCTATGGAGTGACACAGGTGCCCCTGG